TCTGACAATTAATTATTACTGCTGCATAGCATACTTACTGCTGCCCATGTGGAAGCTATCCAGAATATCATTTCTAAATACAATCTCTCAAAATACAGAGGCATTATAGCCACTATCAGACACAAACTGGGTGACAAATTAATGTTACCTGGCTGATTTAAGTAAAGTGACAAAACTGACTTCTCCACTTCTATTAATATGTGTGTGTTGTATCTGTGTTGAGTATGTATGTATATATGTATGTGAGTAAAGCAATTATTAGGTACAGCTAATGCATCAGGAGTCTATCACTGACTCAAGCAAGTATACAGATTTTCACACCAGCATTCTTAACGGTGCTATCTTTAATTTTCTTTAATGTTTTGAAGATAGTAACTAACTAACTGTATGCAGCAGAGACCTTCTTGCAATGCCTATATTAATTCAGAAAGTTACCACCTTTTTGGAACTCAAATGTCAATTACTGTGTTCACAAGAATTCACCACTGATCCTCACCCTAAGGCAGATGAACCTAGTTCACACCCTTCCATCCTACTTATTTAAGATCCATTTCAATAATATCCATCCATGCCTAGGGCTTCCCAGTGGTCTCTCTCTTCTGGTTTCCGAGTCCAAAATTTTTATGTATTTCTCACCACTTCCATGCATGCCACATGCCCTGCCCATTGCATCCTCCTTGATTAGATATCCCAACAATATTTTGTGAAGAGTACAAATTTTGAAGCTCCTGGTTATGAAAAAAATACTTCTAACAGAATTTGGAATTGCCATTAAGCAGCATCTTGTATATGACATTACAAAATCAGGAAGATTTGAAGTGTAAGATTTGAGGTTTTCATGGCGGTGACTATGAAGAAAGCAGTCTTCTGGGATTTGGCACCGTGTATATGTGGTGTTAACCGACGTTTCGGAGGAACGTCAGTTAACACCACATATACACGGTGCCAAANAAATAATAATTGTTGTGATGGAACATTAATATTAATGCATCACCAAGTAATTAGATGTGGCATAAGAAAAATTGAGAGAAAAAATTTCCTACACCAAATTCTTTCTTCTTCCATCAATATTTGTTGGTGATGAAATTGCCTAGTCTGTAAAAGTAAAGTAAAGTAAAGGCATCCCTGTTAACAGACCGTGGAGCCCCATAGGGTTGTGAGACGTTGAGGTTCCCACATTTTCTAGACAATCGGCTCATAAATGGCGGTAAGGTTGTCAGTCCTATGTGCCGGCCAACCTTTACAACCAAGAATATTCCTGGTACTCATTTCTGTTAGAAGCTGAGTCGACGACAGGGCTGTAGTGCGGCTGGAAGGTTTAGGTCAATTGAAAGAAAATCCAGTGACCTCATCGGGACTTGAACCCGCGAACCCGTCTTACAGCATAGTGCCTCAACCAACTACGCTACCAAGTGCCCCATTGCCTAGTCTGAGAGAAGTAAAAAGAAAATAGTTTCTTCCAAGGCATAATATATTAGCCTGGAACTTACATAAGATTCAAAATTAATTTTAAAAGTCACTGATATAAAGTCTGAATAGAGACTAACTTACACTATTGGCCACACTATAGCTCAAGCGGTTAGTCGCTGCCTTCCCACCGCAGCAGCCCAGGTTCGATCCCGGGTCTGGTCAAGTAGGATCTGTGGTGGGCAAAGTAGAACTGGGGCGGGATTTCTCTAAGTACTTATGTTTCCCCTGCTAATCTTCATTCCACTAAATTCTCTATCATCATAACCACTCGTGGAAGGCTACAATAGGCCAAATCAGTGGCCGCCGTGCCGAGTGGACCCAGTTCGACTCCACCTCCCACTAAGCGAATTAAAAAAAAACTTACACTGTTTGACAAGGAGAATTACAGGTTTGCATTTGTTTCTTTAATCTGCTTTTGTGTTTGTTTGTAATATTACTGATTCTAGACAATATGCTTAGTGAATGAAAATTCTTAATAACACTTAAAATTTGAGCAGTGTTTCTAACAAAATGACATATACAGGTACATGCGAGCAAACACCCTCTAGTGTCAGAGGATGGCTTGAATATGGATGCTAGTAGGTACTTAACAAACCTTTCCACTTAAATTTGAAACAGGAAAGAACCCTGAACGATGGAAGCAGCGAATGAATGAATGAATGAATGAATGGAAGTTCTTGATACCATTATGGATACTGCTAGTGTCTTAACGTTTGTCAAGGAATCTGGCTTTACATACTGCCAATGAATGAAAGGAATTAAAGTTAACGTGACTGTTGATGATATATACATTTAAATATATTATTCAGAAAGGAAATCTGAATTATTCTTCACAAGAAAAAGACATTGTTACCAACCCTGAGAAGCAATGGACCTAATAATATATAACTATTTATTTGTTGACTGCAAGGGTACTATATTCATAATCATGACCAGACTCAACTGAGAAAGACTTGCCTGACCATTCTGAAATTATCTACTATACATAGTGTTGTAATATATTTTATGTATGCTATTTGAGCCATGACATTTTCAAACACACAACAAAAACTATATATAATTAATTTTATACAGCACTTCTTGCATCATAACTATGCTCTTATTCTATGCACATGAACCCTTACTCTCAGATATATGGGCTCCTGTGCAGAGTTCACATTTTTACAGTTATGTTATGAATGCATCCAAATGTATGCCACTAACTTGTATATAAATAGCCAATTCCTGCACATAAATCTCTCTAAATATTTTATCGTCTCCCTACACTGATTCTAGTCCACTCATTTTATATACTGAACCTCTGCTCTTTGGTGCTACATGATCTTACACTACAAACTAGGAGACTGCTGAGGCATGTTACATGTAGTGAATATCTTGCAGTATTATTATGGGTACTGATTTATTATAATCCAATTAAGTATGGTATTGTCCACTGCCAGAGATGTATTTAATATAAATATTTAGAACTTATATATGTTCTCATCATTAGATGACTGGCTGCCATTTTGTTAGAAGAAACATTCAGTATTTTATATTTCAGTTGCAACTGTCTGGAAGGAACCCAGGACCCTTTGAACACTAATGTGTTACCCACTAGAACATTTTAAATTAGTAATCAAAGAGTTTTCAGTTTGATTCACAGAACTGTCAGTAACATACTGAAAGTAAAATAATAAAATGCCTATCAATATGACAAACAACCATGTGAACACAGGAATTAAATGAACTCATTGAATATGACGAAATACTCTCAAACACAGCACAAGCATATGGAATGAATATACCGAAGTTAAGGGAGATGAAATAAGAAATATTCAGGAAAGCTAGGTATATACAATCATTGAAAATTGCATGACGATTAGCAGCATACAATTTTAATTCAAGAAGTGGAAGTCTTATTATTAATTCATACTTCTGGAGCAGTCTGTATATACACTGATGCTTTTTTTTATTGTGTTCATGGCACATGCAAGCAAAATCTAACCTGTCCCTCTCTGACAATGAAGACATGTTTTAATATACAAACTATTTTAAACCTATGATGTAAAAATAGGTAACATTTGTTCATAAGGAGACTAAAAGTATATACTACTATACTTATTGCTTTCATTAATAATTATTACATTTTAATAGTATGGTTTCAAATTTTATTAATCATTTCAAAACTTTAAAGCCATTTAGAAAGTGATGTAGCAAAATAAGGATAATCGACACACCATCACAGAAAATATCTACATAGTCCCAAAACCCCAACAAATATGTGCAAAATTTAATTACATGAAGGCACAGCCAGTATTTAATGCTTACTACTAAATGTTCTTACAGTTGCTTAGAACAAGCATACACTAGACTTCACACTTAAATGAAGTGGTATATGTATCTGCCACACACAAATGCCACACTAATTTTTTCTTATTATGCAAAGGTGCTGCACTACTGCATCTACGAGTCTAATGACAATTATGAAGTTGTAACACACAGGTATTCTTATGTTTATACTGTCTGTATAACAAATTAATAAAAAGAGGAACAATCGGTAAGGCAAAAAATCTAGACACCAGCTCAGAGGTTCACCTAAAAGTATCTTTTTTAATGGTGATACTCTCTTCACAAGGTGTTTGTCAGTACATGAGTTTTGAAAGTTCCTATGAATGAATGTGACGATGATACAGTCATGACTTTCATTCCTACGTGCAGTATGTTCATGGTTAAACAAGTATTCGAAACATAATTTTTTTTACTTTAAACAGGTAATTTACAATTTGTTATAATTAACCCTCTACATTTCAAAATGCCATCACATTTTTGTCAGTATTAGTGCCTAAGTGGTTAGCATAGCCAGCAGACTGCTCAAGTATCAGCACTGACTTAAAATGTTAATTACTTAAAAAAAAATAGATACACAAGCCTATGCATTTCCTTTTAGTCTTCTGAATCTCACATAGTTTCAAATTTTATTGTATTTATTTTATTCAATTCAGTATTTATTTGTGAATAAACCCTTAAATTAAAAGATTAATTAATATTACACATAATTTCTTGGTGTTCTCAGCATAACTATTATTACAATTCCATTTACCTCAGCTCTTTTTGGTGTTACACACCGGTATATGTGCATAACTCTGAAATGCAGCAAGATTTCTGAATGACTTTACCATGTGTTTAAGTATGGACACAACACAGCTCAATGTATATGTGCAACAAACTAGCCCTCTGTAACTAATCTGCATTAAACAAAGAAGATCAATATATATATCAATATACAGGCGTGTTTTATTGCTGTGTAGATATTTTCTAAAACACTGAATTTTAAAACAAATACATTCCATCATATATGAACTTTCAAAACAAATGTCTTTAGTGTGTTGAAGACATTTTACAGCTAAGTTTAAATGGAAAGAGCTGTTGGATTACACAGACACAATGGTTTGGAACAGAGACACGTGCAATGCAGTGTAGGTTTAATCCAGAGGCGCTGTGTGCTTAAGCTTATCAAGAAATGGATATATAGAAGCGGGGCTTACTTGTACCTCACAGGGGGGTGGCGCACTGCGGTATGATGGTACTATCTTGAAAGTCACTGAACCCCGCGCCTCACGCTAAAACACAGATTCATGGGAATGTCATATTCCAAATTAAAAACTCACAACAAAGAAACAACACACATACATAATATCAAAAGTATGTTAAGACAGGAATGTAATATCAGCAATGTTAACATATGGAATTATTAAAGCAAGGACGTATGAATGAATCTAGTACACTCTTATGCGTAGACATTTAGACTGGAAGAACGATATCAATCAGTTGGTTCTAAAGCTAAGTGAAGCATGTTATGCAGTTAGATCTATGTTGGATATCAGCAACACTGACACTCTCACATCAGTTTGTTTTGTTTAAATGATACAAACTCCATCCTAAGTGCAAACAATATATATTTATATGTCTTTGATCTTGTTCTTTCTACACTACATGTTTCGGCCTCTATCGGCCATCATCAAGTGTATACTCTTAACGTCGCTGCCACACTGAACCCAGTCTAAAACTTAACATTTAAAAACACAATGTCACATTCTTCGTATTATCAACATCTACATCGTTGATATGTGTCTGGTATGTAGATTATGTTTCACACGCCGAACCCGATATTCTTGTAGTAGCACTCTAAAAATCTTTAGTTATGATGTTTTTAAAACCTTTTAAAATTTTCTCCAAATTTTAAATTTAAAATTTAAAATTCTTAGGGTTACTCGCCCTATGTCTACGTGCTGGAGCGGCTAGTTCTTGTTTTCACACTGTACAGGTGTTATCTGTAATATACAAATATTCGTATTATTATTTTATGTACGTAATATTTTCTGTATGTAATATTTTCTTATGTGTGTATATTGTTATTTGTACTTACTTAATGTAGTAATGTAGATCAAAGACATATAAATATATATTGTTTGCACTTAGGACGGAGTTTGTATCATTTATCGTGTAGAGTGCAACAGGATGCTTAAATATAATATTGTTTTGTTTACTTTCACTTTTAATGAAGTATGGAATAATTTTCTGGGGTAATTCATGTGACAGCAAAAATTAATTTACATTGCAAAAAAACAAATTGTTAGAATCATAATGGGTGTCAAATCCCACACTACTTGTTGAGATCTATTTAAGACTCTAGAGGTCTTATCTTCAACGAGTATATACAGGGGGTGGATAAAATAATGGAAACACTAAGAAATTGAGGAACAGAATTTGATTGTGTTGTCTATGTTGAAAAACTTTAGCTGGCAACACTGAAAGTTCTTTTTCCCTTTGTTTATACTCTTTATGTGGTCGTGTCAGTGCATTACTGATTATGTTGAGTGACAGTCCTTGTGAAAGAATTGGAAAATGGGAGGACAGATCGTTGGTGTGCACTTAGCTGGAGCATATGTGACAAAAACTGCCATATTATTGGGTGTATCCAGAGCAACAGTTTCCAAGGTTATGCCGGCATACATGAATTGGGAAGACATCAGCAAAAAGGAACAGTGGGAGAAAGAAACATTGCCAGAAAGCAGTTATCATACACTGAGAACGATTATTTTTAAAAATCACAGAACTACTGCAGCACAGGTGAAAGGGTAGTAGAACTGAATATTCATTTTGAAGATCCTGTTTCCATAAAAACTGACCAAGATGAGCTTCCCAAATCCAACATCCATGGTAAGGCTGCAACTGTTAAACTTCTGATTACTGAAAGTAATTTGATTTGTTTCATTCTGGTACATCACACTAACAATTACAAATACAAAACAGCTCTGTCCAGTGTGACTATTGAAGTTTTTACTACTTGAAAACTTAGCACCTTTACATGTTTTGATCCCTATAGACCATCATCAGAGGGACATCGATACTTTTTTGGAAACTACTATCACAGTGAGTGTTTTGAGTGTTAAAATACATATACATACAATGTTTGTAATGCACAATATATACAAAATCCAACCTTTTCACAACTACAGCAGCTTTCATGGCATATTAAAGTTTTTAAAACTTTGTTATTTAAGTTAAAATTTATAAACCAAGTAGGTTCGGGTCCCTTCTCCTATTGTCTTTCTTGATGGGGGCTGAATTTGTGCCACCTAAAAACAACACAGCACACCATGAACAAACACAGGATGATACCAAGAATCTCCTTCTCAAGAAAGATAGGCGGCACAAGTTCAGCCCCCATCAAGAAAGACAATAGGAGAAGGGACACGAACCTATTTGGTTCATAAATTTTAACTTAAATAACAAAGTTTTAAAAACTTCAATATACCAAGAACGCTGCTGTAGTTGTGAAAAGGTTGGATTTTTTTATATATTGTGCATTACAAACATTGTATGTATATGTATTTTAACACTCAAAACACTCACTGTGATAGTAGTTTCAAAAAAAGTATCGATGTCCCTCTGATGATGGTCTATAAGGACCGAAACATGTAAGGTTGCTAAGTTTTCAAGTAGTAAAAACTTCAATAGTCACACTGGACGGAGTTGTTTTGTCTTTGTACTGAAAGTAATGCTCAGATGCCTAGACGATGGTGTCACGACCATAAAACCTGGACATCAGACAACTGGAAATGCATGACATGGTGATATGGTCAGGTGAATTGTCCTTCATGCTGTTCCCTACAACAGGAAGAGTTTACATTCGGAGAACATCAAACAAAGCCTACAATCTAGAATGCCTGGTTCCAAGAGTGAAACATGAAGAAGGTTCTGTGATGATTTGGGCAGCAGTATCATGGTACAGTATTCAGTTGGTCCCATTATTAACCTTCATGGCCAAATTACTGCAAGGGAGTATGCGGACAGGTTGGGTAATCAGGTGCATCCCATGATCCAGATGTTATTTCCAAACAATGATGCAGTTTTCCAAGTTGACAGTGCCTCCATTCACACAGCTGGAACTGTTCAGTCATGGTTTGAAGAGCATGCAGGTGAACTTCAACATCTCCCATGGCCAGCAGAATCACCAAATTTGAACATCACAGAACCACTCTGGTCAGTTTTGGAGGCAAGAGTGAGGAACAGACTCCCACCTCCAACATCTTTTAAGCAATTTGAAGATGGTCTTAAAGAACAATGGTATAAAATCTGCTAGAGACTATTCCAAACTTGCACGAGTACTTTTCAAGAAGGACTGTGGCTGTACCAAAGGCAAAATATTGTCCAACACTATATTAACAAAGAAATGTGTACATTATCTGTAGTGTTCCCATTATTTTGTCCCAGCCCTACAGTTTCATTGATAAACTTCATTACAAATAACTAAGAACCTTTTCAGACCAATGCAGATGTATACAGTGTTAACATAAAACAATAGAACTATCTTTGAAAGCCAACTGCTAACATGTCATGCTTTCAGAAAAGAGCATATTATGCTGAGATCAAAATTTTCAATAATCTGCCATTTGATCTCAGAATTTAAAATAGCACTAAAATGATACTTAAACACACACCCATTCTACTCTGTTGATGAAAACTTACCATCTAGAAAAAGACTCATCCATTTAAAGATTGTGTAAATAGCATTAGTTGCTGTATTGCTGTATGTATGTGGATATATCTTTGAATAGTCTTATATGTAAACACCATGCTTTCTTATGTGAAAACTTCACTTGTACTGTACATATATTTTTGTATTTATATGACATATTCCACATCCCACAGTCATTTTGGCTAAATTTGGACCCAGGGAATGCAATGTGATGCAAATTTTAAAGAAAAAAAAAGAGAGATAAAAATCATTCATAAACAGGTCCATTTCAGTAAAATTCGTTCATGGCCTTTCACTTTTAACATGAATTTTGGAATTCAACAGAATTGTTGAAATAGCCTATATTTAGTTTTATGCTAACATTAATGCTTCTCGCATTACATAATATGACCTTAACAATTCCACCTATTTACTTATTCAAGTATTTTATTATCAAAAATTTTTGCTTTTATAGGTTCTTTTCACCTTTGAATATATTTATTTTTGTTTCTGAGACGGAAATTTTCTTGCTGTTTTCATGAATTATATTATGTATGTAGGATATGAGAGCAAAAGAAGAATGAACTTACCAGAATCTTCTGTAAGGCATTAACGGATTGGTTGGCAACAGGCACACCATTGATTTCTCGTATCTCATCGCCGACATGTAACGTAGCTTGTCGATGGATCATGCCTCCATGCATGATCCTAGCTACGATGCACTTGCCCTCCTCGTTCATCTTGAGCGTGATGCCCTGAATGAACAACATGACACTCAGTTAAAATTCATGTGTAACATTGTGGAAATACAGAAATAACAACTGAATGTCATGGTTGAGTGGTTAGTACTCTTGCTCCAGTTAAGGACAGCCTGCATCCCAGTATCGATTTGAAGACAGAATACTATGGCTGAGGGGTTTTTGTGGATTACCTCAGTGTCCAGGAAATTCTTTGCATTTTAATTAGGCCACACTGTGTCATAACATTTCCTTCCACATTCTATCTCTTCACTCATGGTTGGCTTGTCATTTGACATTACATAACCTTTATAATTGAAATGACATCATTACATAACCCAAGACTCAAGAAATATGGCAATAAGAACGTATCGCTTTGGAGCACTATCAGGTTGTTGTCCAGAATATCTGTGTTTTCATTGTTGTCACAGTGGCTTATGACTTCAAATCTCATTCTGTTACCATCCTCATCTCTGCTCTAATGAAAACAGGAAAGGCCAGAATCCACATTTTTGTACATCATGTTAAAGAGCAAAGCTGTTCTGTGCCTGCAAAATTGTCTGCAGATTGTGTGTGTATCAAAGAGATATAAGTTACTGTACAATCATCAGGACATAAACTGAAGAGAGTGCATATGCTGTACACAGCACCATGAGAACCTCAAATCCCAGAAGAGATAGTTACAAGTGGATAAACTGTACAATTATTGCATGAGTAGGAAGTTGATAGTGAAAGCACATACGGGTTTAAAAATATTTCCCATAGTAAAAGTAGGCCCTGTCATGATATGGGCAAAATGACTCTTGCTATTGAACCTGAGCAGGTGCAAACAGAAGGTAGAATCTAAAAAAACATAAGATTCCGAGTTTCATATAATTTATCATCTAGGCCAACACAAATACTCAGGAAATAAGGATATACTCTAACATAAATCACGACCCCTTCCTCACATACATCTCCCAAGTTCAAACTATTACACACCTCATCCAATGTCTCAGTAACTCTGAATGTAGCATGAGATTATAAAATAACCCAAATAGACAGAAAAATGAGCATTTACCCAAGTAGAAAACTCTTGTTGATATGGTAATGAAAATTCTGGTTCCACAAAAAGCAAGGAATGTCTTGACAACCTCAATGGCTATTAGTTTCTTGTGTTCCATAAAGTTGGTCACTACTGGGTCCTTAACAGGGCTAACTGTGAGACAGACAATGCAACAGAATTCCCTTAAGGTGTAAGTGATATGGGCAGGAAGAATAAGTTTATAATCCAGTTTAAAACAACAAACAATATGAAACATGTTGACGATATAAGGGTGTGCCTAATTTAGAGGAACCTTCATGTTAACCGTTTTAGCTCGGCCAACACTTTCAAAAGCTAAATAAAGATGCTACTTTTGTTGTTCAATGGCATTCCACACTCTGGCAGGAGAAGAGATCAGATAATACATCATCTGCCACCTCATACACCCAATCACAGGCTTGTTAGCCATTTGCCTTTGGCCAAAGTTGGTCGTTTCTGGGTTCTGCCAGTGACACAATATAGTACAGGTCCAAGAGGAGGAGGGAGTGCATGATAGTTCAAGCTTCCTCAAGGTCCCTACATTAGCCAATGGGAAATGTTATCACACTTCATTTGCTCCGCAACCATCGGTAGCAGCCAGGCAATTAATTTTATTACTTTCATTGTTCTGAAAAAATGAAAGTAGGTCTATGCAATCTCCAAGCTCTCTGTGTGTCTGCAATATCCTCTATATAAAATTTTGAATGGCTGAATCTAACTTTATGAAACTTGGTATGTATATCATGCCACCTGACCCCGTCTCAGCATAGTACTTCATAAATCTGCGTGTCTATATGCTATGTGTATCCTCCTATCGTTGCTAGGCAATGGATCAGTAAAAATGTTTCCGCGGCTACGAATATACCGGTAATAACAGAACTATTGGTTGGGTAGTTTTCTATGGGGCTCGAGTGGCATCAAGGAAAGTAGGCTATTAGTTTCCCCAAAATTCCTTGTTTATTCAACAATTAATATTTTTTTTTTCATGATGCGCAATAAATTTCCAATACAACGAAAATGCGACAAAGCAAACGTCAGTAACCCCGCACCAATTTCTACACTAATCTCTCTAGACAGCTCAGTCGTAAAACCAACTCAGATCTATGTGGAATGGATGAACTAGTCTTCACAGGGGAGCATTACTATTACATATATGTGTGGATAATATTAAAATAAATGTTAGAGAGACAGGATGGGATGGTATGGACTGGACTGATCCGGCTCAAGACAGGGACCAGTGGGGGGCTCTTGTGTACACGGTAATGAACCTTCGGGTTCCATAAATTACTGGAAGGAAGGAGGGATAGATAGAACAAAAGCATCCCTTTCGAATGAACTCCAGTGTTATTCAAGCAGAAGAACGCTGCTCCTTCCCCACGGCAAGAACAACAGGAACATCTAATAGCCACGGCCTCCTAAAGCAATATGAAGCGCACACTCACCATCGGTTCGTCCGTGTTCTTCTGGAACTGCACGAGTCTGACCCGAGTCACGTTCTCCATCTCGACGTCACCATTGGGACCCTCGAGGTCGTCTCCGCCGTTTAGGTAAGGCATCAGGGGAGGCGGTGTGACGCGTACGGCGTCTTCCCCGTAGATTTCGTGGGCGACCACATCGTGTGCTTGCAGCAATGCCTAGAAATAAGAAACCGATCTACAGTATTCCTAGAAGAGTCATAAGCTTTCGCAACGAATAACTGCATTAAAATTATCTCGAAAGCATCGATGATGAACAGCAAAAGGACGTTTCGGAGACAGACTCTGCCTCCATCATCAGGGCCATCGACCCTTAAACCAAGTCTGTCTTTGAATCTTGCTCATCATTAACGCAGCCGATTTCCAGAGAGAATTTTACTGCATTTTGTAGTTCATCGGTAGATTTTCTGCATGTAAATTGAATCATCAATTTTATTTTAATGGCATGAGTAGACATTAAATTCTTAACCTGTTATTTCTGCCTCAAATTTATGATTAATACAGGCTACAATGTGACAGTGGCCGGTCACGGTAGCCGAAAGGTCTAAGGCATACACTGTCTTCGCTCGCTCGGAAGCCGGGACCGTGGGTTCGAATCCCACTCAGGGCATGGATGTTTGTGTGCGTTTTTCTGAGTTGTCTACAGGTAGAGGCCTTGCGACGAGCTGATCACTCGCCAAAAGAGTCCTGCCGTATGTGTAAGATCTGGAAAAACCGAAGTGAACGGAGTTCATGGAGGTAGGCCTAGGCCCACTGGGGCTGTAGTGCCAAGAAAAAAAAATAATGTGACAGTGACAAGGAAGGTAACCTTACCATCAGGGGTAGAAGAAATGCCGATGCTAATTAAGTACAAATCATGGGGTACACAATGCTGCAGTTAAGTTGTTACTAAACGGCTGAATTCTACAAAACTTTCGCTAGTGCTGCTGTCCTACTTTTTTACTATAAACAAATCTGTCTAGTTGATCTTTAACAAACAGAAAGTGGGATTATCCACTAAAGAAGTCAAAATAGAAAGTCCTCAGAACAACAAACAAATTAGAAACATCCGAATTACGTCCACGAGGTTGGGTGTACTCATTAATGGAAACATCAAGCCATTTCTCGTGACCACAATATTTTCTCTTATATAAAGTCGTTAGAAGATAAGAAACAGAGAACGCTGCCATTCCAACTACTTCACTGTCACTATAAATGTGTACTACATCGATGGTCGTATAAATTAGGATTCTCCAGCCTCATCAGCACACAAAACGTATTCCTTATTCGCAAGTCGTTAATTTTAATTAGCAGTAGTTCGAAGTTCTAATATAATGCTAATCCAAATTTTGAACAACACTAATCTTGCATTGTTGATTTCAAAATTTGAAGAGGAGGAAGAAGAATGTATTATAAATACATAATATCAGTAGCCTGATAAATATCCGCATGATAGAAGAATAATAATGACGACCGTTATTTAGTTCAATTCATTTATTAAAGGGCTTAACAACAGCTATAGAGTCAATTACAGAAAACCACTGCGAAAAAACTCAATAAAGCAGAATATGTAAACATACATTAACAAAATAAGCAAGAAAAAACATAGTTTACAGATAACAGAATGTGTTTTTATTTACCAACACAACAAATTTTCAAAAATTAAACCAATCCAGTGTTACGTTGGTCCACATTGAACCATGAACCGGAACGACGTAAGAACATCCTCACATAAAGAAGCATATAGCACACTCCAAAGAGAAAACAACTCAATTACGACTACACATAAAGAAACCATGGAGAAACATATATGATAAAACTTGTAACAACACCGTACTCGAGTATTATACATAACATATACGTGTATAAAAACATAACAACGAATCCTGGAAGGTAGTATCGTCCACACATGCATGACAAGGAAGATAGAAACTACATCGCAACGACCAAACAAAAATATAAAAATAAAAATTTTAGCCAAAATATATGTATTATAATGATATATATAAAACATTACAACGAATCCTGAAAGATATCATCATCTACAACACATATCAAGAAAGAAGGAAACTAACATCATAACGACAGGACAAAATATAAAAAAATAAAAAAATTACATATATCATAACGATTTTAACAATTAACGCTAATATGGATCCATATCAAGAACTTCGATAACGAGTGACGTATTTAAGAATACTACCTCATGATCCAAATATTGATCGAAACATGTAGCAGTCACTAAATAAAACCAATGTAAAACAGTGATTAGCTCTGACAGAGCAAATGACCCCAGTTTCATGTTGTGTTTGAACTGGCAGTAACTTCAGGCGGCAGAGAGTGCTCCTACTAATCATTCTTCTGTCAGATACATTTTATAATTTAGATACTGTTCAAATAGTGAACCAGGAAGCACGACGTAAATTAGACTTAAATAAGTTTCGTCGTAAATAAAAATATTACGCCTGTTACCTTTTAATAAAGTCCAGAATTACCTATTTACATCAGCGTCCGGCCCGCTATGATCACTTCCGAAGATTATTCATTGACGTCATAAAAGTGTATGCAGTTGTTTAATTTGGAATTTAACAGATCGTACAGAAGTCACGTCTTCGCCGAAGCAAAAACGTCGAGAGTTTTCAAAAGAAGATTCCAGTCAAAGTACCTAAGCCGAGATCTGATTATTCAGACCGAAATAAGCCATATAATTTGAACTAGAACTGTTGTTGATTGGTTAATTAGAACAAGCTGACTTGTACACGAATCTTACGTAAACAAATCACGGTCCTTGATAAATAATTCTCAGCTTAAAGAAAATTGTTACAGACATATGTGGAACCCACGATGCCCCATGTGTTATCAGCTCGTAACAACGTCCCGTCTCTTATTAATGGCTAGCAGTAAATGTCAGACTTACACAACTCCAAAAGTCATAAACCCATTAAACACTTCTTTCTAAAGCACAGTCACATTTCGACTTTCAAGATAATAATGTATATCCCTTATGCCCATTCTCAAGACCCCGGATGCAAGGACAAAATCGTCTTTTCATCTACCATGTGTTACAAAATAACGCCTAAACTTTATGTGAATGAAATTAAACAGATATCCGGCAAAATAAAATAAATTAAATCAATAAATCGGAAATTAACGTACATGACGAAATAGGTTCTGCACTGACACAAGGCTAAGGTTCTCAGAGGGTTGCAGAGCCAAGGAATAGGAAAGTATGTAACCCCAGGTGTTCACTGATTATCGCCATGAAAACGAAAGTTTAAAAGGCCTATAATTCAGTGATTATCGCCATGAAACTGAAAGCTTAAAAGACCTATAATTTTCACACAGCCGCCATTTTGCTTCACACTCTACAAACATATGTGAACATAAGCCTGAGCTATACAAGGCATGTGCTTCAAGTTACCATCACATCATCTTCGTGGAGAGTAGGAGAAATGTCACAAAAAGAGACTGTCTAGGCCTTATCTCCGCTGAAATAACACGTTTTGCTAAACTTTGCCTAAAATATTTTTCTGAGTACGTCGCACCCTGAGCAGGCAACCTTATGGAAGACAGGACCTGTGTGTTCGAAATCTTAGGTATGGAAACTCTGGCGCCCAACAACCTAGTGACGTAATGATCATGACGTAACGATTGATGACACTATCTGATGATCATGCATCTTACAGATGTTACAGGCTGAGCATACATGAACGAGCTCAAATTATTCTCTCTCCTGTCATCTCTGACAGTGGAACAGGGGGCATCACACTGCCTTTCTTTCTAATTTGCAACTGCACAAATGATTGTCAGTGCGCACAGGAATATCCTACACGAAATAAGGAAACGGAAGGCTAATTGGATTGGTCATATCTTACGCGGTAACTACCTTCTAAAAGATGTTATTGAAGGAAAGATAGAGGGGCGGATAGAAGTGACCAGAAGACGAGGAAGAAGACGTAAGAAGATGCAGGGTGACCTTGGGGACAGAAGAGGATATTTTCATCTGAAGGAGAAAGCTATAGATCGTATTAAGTGGAGGAACTGTTTTGCAAGAGACTGTGGACCTGCTGTCTTGACAGATTACTGATGAATGACTGAAATGATTACAAAATTAAATGAGGTATCATGCGCAGGGCAAATCTACCAGTCTCGTTACATCTTCTAACATGGAAATACACTCCAAATTCTCCTTGGGAGCAGTTAGGTGTTCCACAGTTCGTTTCAACGGTTGTGTACGGATGGCTCCATTGGGGTCTACGGATTAGCAGATGCAAAGGGCATTACTGTACAATATCTCACCTCGACCCCTCCTCTTTATAGGTAGACCTATGAATTCGGCGACGAAACATCAGAATAGAATGAAAGTTCTCTAAACGATCAATCATATTCAAAGACTACTCCTGTAAAAGACCATATCTATGCCACACGGAGTGCGTTTTAGGTAATTTTAGTGTAATGCAGTGACCATGCATGGTCTTTACCAAACTCTCTTTAAAAACACATTGGACACAAAAGACATCATGAAGACGTCAATCAATTTATTAAATAGTTATTTAACACTTTTATTTAACGGGTTGAGGGATGAAGTTGAGAACGCAGCTGCAAAAAACAAATTTAAAAATGTAAACCAAATTATATAATGTTCGTGTTTAAAGCCAAAACACCAGTAGCGTAAAGTATGTAGTTCATATGTACATGTCTGTGTACGTTGCCATTAATTATTAACATTTACCTAATCCTTCCAGCCGCGCTATGGCCCTGGGGTCAACTCAGCCTCTAACAGAAATGAGTACCAGGAATTAATTAAATAATTTTCCTGGAGAGTGAAGCGCGGCCAGCACGTAAGGCTGACAACCTTACCGCCATCTTTGAGCCGATTGTCAAGGTAATGTGGGACCCTCAACGTCTCACAACCCTATGGGCCTTCACGGCCTTGTGCAAGGATAGCCTTACTTTTACTGACGTTACCTGCTGCGTCTGCTATGCATGTGAAGTACTAAGAGGGCATTAAATTCGTGCAATACGGTTGCTAAGTACAGTGTACTGTACTGTACTAGCCTCCTGTCCGGAGCCCACCCCACATAATAGACCACTTATGGGAGGAAAGGTCGGTGATCTTCTTGGAGAAGTTCCACTGTCTGTCAACAAACAACGGCTTTTATAATAAGAGGTGGCAAAGC